CAGGTTAAACTCCTGAGCTGTTGAACTTGCTGACCGAAAGGTTGATGGTTCGAATCTGGTGAGCGAAGTGTGCTCCTGTTATTAGGCCAGCTTCTGCCAACCTAACAGTTAGAAAACACACAAAGGTTGGCAGTTCAAATCCGGGGAACAGGGTGAGCTCTCACTGTTAGGTCCAGCTTCTGACAACCTAGCAGTTCGAAAATGTGGAAATGTGAGTAGATCAATAGGTACCACTTCAGTGGGAAAGTAACGGCACTCCATGCAGTCATGCTGGCCACATGACCTTGAAGACGTCTACGGACAATGCCAGCTCTTCGGTTTAGAAATGGAGATGAGCACCATCCCCAGAGTTGGACATGAGTAGACTAATGTCAAGGGGAAACATTTACCTTTATCTTTTTATACCCCACTTTTTCCCTATAGAAAGGAGACTCAAAGTGGCTATACTCATATTTATAGTTTTGCATTACATTGTTTTAATTGTATTGTTTTTAAGGCTGTTCGCTGCTTTTGGGCCTCGATCTAAAGAGGAAAGCAGATACAAATAAATATAATCATACTAATAATAGTCATCCTTGAAAAAAGGAGGAAGTAACTTTAGGGCCATGGTGGTGCAATGGGTTAAACCCTTGTGCTGCTGAACTGCTGACCTGAAGGTTGGCAGTTTGAATCTGTGAGACAGGATGAGCTCCTGTCAGTCAGCACCAGCTCCTGCCAACCTAGCAGTTCAAAAACATGCAAATGTGAGTAGATAAATAGATACCACTTTGGCGGGAAAAGGCAAAGAGATGCTCCAAACAATCTTGCCAGCCACACAACTAGGAGGTGGCAACGCAGGCTCATCGGCTTGAAAATTGAGAAAAAGCACCTCCCCAGAGCCAGAGATGAGCACTGCCTCCAGAAGCCGGCAATGGAAGGAGAAGCCTCTGCCTTTGTTTGTGCTTGTGTGTCTCATTGTATATGACTGTAAAGTTATTGATTGTTTGCCTATGTTTGTAAATGCTGTAATCCGCTCTGAGTCCCCTAGGAGAGAAGGGCGGAATATAAATAAAGTATATTATTTTACTGACACGAAAACACAGTATGTCACAGCAAACAAGATATATATGCTGGATTATTATTATTATTATTATTACTTAATAAAGTACTATTATTAGGGTAAGACCCCTGCCTTGAAAATGTGTGTGTGTTTAATCTGTCTTGCTTTTGTATTTGAAGATGTACTTTGCCCATCACATAATAATTACCCCAAAGGCACTGGATCCTGTCTGATCTTTGAAGCTAAGCAGGATCAGCTTGGTTAGTATTTGGTGGGAGATCCCTAAATGCGTGATGCATCTTTGCACATTGGGGTAACATCATCAGAGGTGGACATACTTGTATTTCTGCTAGTTTATCCTTTCCGAAATTATAAGTCTGGTTCCCATATGAAAACAGAGGCAATCCCTACCTCAGTCTCTCTTGCCTACAAGAGGCAGCTCAGCAGGGAACGCAATTCAACAGCTTTCTCAATTTGAGGCTTTATTTCCTTTTAGGATCCAGCTGGACTGCCATATATTAGGCCTGGGCGGTTTCGTTCGTTAATTTTGTAATTCGTTAAATATTCGTTAATTTTAGCAATTACAAAACGATTACAAAACTTATTTTTAAACCCGGAAGTGTTTTTAAATATCGAAACGGCATGCGCCAAATAGTTTTGTATTTCCGTCCATTTCGGAAATACGTAAGATGGCTTGGCGAGATGCTTGCTGGGAGCTCTCCTCTCTCTCCTCTCCTTAGCCAGTCAGAGCCTGAAAGAGGAGGAGGAGGAGGAGGAGGAGAGGGCGGGGAAGGCGCCGGCTGAGCAAGCGAGCGAGAGGGCGAGCGACCCTCAGCGGGAAGGCGGCCCGTCCCTCCTTCCTCACCTTTGCGGTGGGTGTGCTTCGTTCTCCCAATTCCGCACTGAAACCTTAGCGGAGGGCTGGACTAGATGGCCTTTGGGGACCCCCTTCTCCCAATGCCGCACTGAAACCTTAGCTTCGGAGGAGCCGGGCCTGACTCGGCGGCAGCGCTTGAGGGCCCGCCAGAGTGAGTGCCTGCCTTCCCTCCTTAATAATAATTTCTCCTCCCTATTCTACTAAATTAATAATTAAATTAAAAAAAAATTGAAAAAAAAAGGGCGCCATCTTTACAAAATGTTTTGTAAATATTAACGAAATTTCGTAAATACCGAACTTTTTTAAGGGAAAATTTTGTAATTATTTTAAATATCGAAACAAAAAAACCCCCAAATACAAATCGATTTTAGAAACAAATTTTTGCATTGTTACCCAGGCCTACCATATATATTATATATATGGCACTGGATGCTTGCCTTTTATTTTGTGATCCTCTCTTGAGACCTCTTGAGAAGATAGGGAGGGATAGAAATAAAGTTTTACTTACTAGGCACAACCTGGGGATCACAACCAGATACAGTGAAGACATCTGCCCTTGCGCTGTGCTACTCTGCTGCTGAGTATGCATGCCCAGTGTGGAACACATCTCACCACACTAAAACAGTGGATGTGGCTCTTAATGAGACATGCCGCATTATCACAAGGTGTCTGCGCCCTACACCACTGGAGAAATTACACTACTTAGCGGTATTGCACCACCTGACATCCGCCGGGAAGTAGCAGCCAATAGTGAAAGGACCAAGGCAGAGACATCTCCAGCTCATCCCCTGTTTGGGTATCAGCCAGCACGTCAAAGACTTAAATCTAGAAATAGTTTTCTAAGATCTACAGAGACACTCGCTGGAACACCTCAGCAAGCGAGAGTCCAAAAGTGGCAGGCTCAAACCCAGAACCTCAACCAATGGCTGATACCAAATGAGAGACTCCCCCTGGGCACACAGAGGACTGGGCGACTTGGAAGGCGCTGAACAGACTGGGCTCTGGCACCACAAGATGCAGAGCCAACCTTCAAGAAATGGGGCTACAAAGTGGAATCCACGACATGCGAGTGTGGAGAAGAGCAAACCACTGACCACCTGCTGCAATGCAACCTGAGCCCTGCCACATGCACAATGGAGGACCTTCTTGCAGCAGCACCGGAGGCACTCCAAGTGGCCAGATATTGGTCAAAGGACATTTAATCAACTACCAAACTCACAATTTTTGTATTCTGTACTTTGTATTTTTGTATTTTGTCTGTTTGTTTGCTTTATTCTGTTAGAAACGTAATATAATTGACTGGTTGCTGATGACTTGATAAATAAATAAATAGGAATAGAAGTCAGTGTGGCATCGGAGTGTTAGATTACAACTCTGGAGAGTTGGGTTCGAATCTCCACTTGGTCATGAAACCTACTTGGGAGAGTCACACTCTCTCGGCCTCAGAGAGAGGCAAACTTCTCTTTTGTAAACCTTGCCAAGAAAATCCCTTAGTTTGGAAACCACTTGAAGACACACAACAGAGGTAAGAGCCATGTGGAAAGGAAGTCACATTGGGGAGAAAGGGGCAAGCTTGTCTTCTCTTGCGCCTGAGGCTGGATCTACTCTGCAGTTTCAGCATGCGGATTAACTGCCATTCTGTGGCAGTGTAGACTCATATATTCCAGGTCAATACAGTTAAACTGCATTCTATGGCAGAATAGATCTAGCCTGAGACAGGAACCCAATGGAGCAAAGGATTCGAACTACAGAAAAAGAGATTCCAAATAAACACTAGGAAGATATTTGCTGTTCGACCATGGAATATGCTGCTCAAGAGTCTGGTAGTCTCCTTCCTTTTCTGGAGGTTTTGAAGCAGAAGCTGAATGACCATCTGCTGGGAAGGTTTGGATTATGTCTTCCTTTGTCGTAGAAGGGGGTTGCATTGATTGCCTTTGGGGATCCCAACTTTAGGGTTCTATAAGAAGGGAATATCATTGAGTAAAGTAAGTGTGGATGGCCATCTCTGGGAAAGGTTTGGATTGTGTTTTCCTGCCTGGCAGAAGGGAGTTGTTATGGACAGCGTATGGCATCCCTTCCAACTCTAGAATTCTATATTATGAGGCTTTAAAGTAGAGCTTGAATGACCATCTGGCGGGAGGGATTAGATAGTGTCTTTCTGTTGGGCAGAATAGGGCTGTAATCAGAGGTGGCCCTAGGTAATTTTCAATGGTAAGCAAACAGTATTTTGGTGCCCCCCCCCGCCCAACCAATCACTGATATATATTTTCTGTTGGTCATGGGAGTTCTGTGTGCCATATTTGGTTCAATTCCATCATTGGTGGAGTTCAGAATGCTCTTTGATTTTAGGTGAACTATACATCCCAGTAACTACAACTCACATATGTCAAGGTCTATTTTCCCCCAAGAGCGCCTCAAGAGCGCCCCTGGGCAAAATCAACTATACTGCAAATGCTTACTTTGCGTAATGGGTTGAGCCACCCCTGGCTGTAATGGATGGCCTTTGGGGTTCCCTTCTCTTCCAATTCTAGGAGTTTATCGTTCTGTCATAATAACATACAAGAGTCTGGTAGTTTCCTTCCTTTTCTGGAGGTTTTGAAGAGGCTGAATGACCATCTGTAGGGAGGGTTTGGATTGTGTCTTCCTTTGTGGCAGAAGGGGGTTCTATTGATGGCCTTCCCATTCTCAGATTCTATAAGAAGGGAATCTCTTTGAGTAATATGTATGGATGGCCATCTGTGGGGAGAGTTTGAATGGTGTCTTCCAACCTGGCAGAGGGAGTTGTTCTGGATGGCCTTTGGCATTCCTTCCAACTCTAGAATTCTATAATTATGAGACTTTTAAGTAGAGATTAATAGGCTATCTGGCGGGAAGGTTTAGATGGTGTCTTCCTGTTGGGCAGAATAGGGTTGTACTGGATGGCCTTTGGGGTTCCCCTCCCCTCCAACTCTAGGATTCTATCATTCTATATCATTCTGTCATAACAACAAACATCGGCATGCAAGCAAATTCGAAACAACGTGACCCCCTCCCCCCCTACTATCAAAGCCCTAAAAGAAGAGGAAAGATAGGCCTCTCTCTCACCGATTTGGGTTTCTTCTTGGGCGACAGGTTGTCATAGAAGGCCTTGGCCTCTTCCCAGGCTGCTGGCTTGGGCTGCCCACCTCCTCCGTTGGCCACTTGGCTGGCGGCATCTCGGGGTCTCCCTTCAGCGCCCCCCACTATTGCTGTATCCATCTCTCTTGCCGGCTGCCCTTCCTGGGAAGGTCAAGTGTGGTCTTCTTTGGCTTGCTGTGTCCCAGCTCTTGTTCGGTTTCCTTGCAAGAGAAACAGTCGGTTGGGCATGCAGCTCAGGAGCGGATGAGTCAAGCTGCCGCACGACGCCTGTGCCTCTGTGTGTGTGTGATGATGCCGTGCAAGAGAGGCACCATGGCATGGGCTGGTGTGGCTGTCGCTCAGAGGGAACGCTCTTTATAAGGGATCCCAGGAACCACATCCAGAGGATTTAACCTCCTCTGCCCTGGAAAGCTGGCCACAGCCAGAGAGCAGTTCTGGATGCCAAGGCCGTTTGCAAAGAGATGTGCCAAAGCGCCAGCCAAAGGGCTTTGCGGCTACTTCAAGAGTCCTTGGCTTGTTCCAGTAGAAGCCTTGTTCCATCTGTTGCATTTTAGCCCATTTCTTCCCTATGTCTGTGCCTATATATCTTTTAGGAGACATGTCTTGCAGTATTCTTCTCCATAGGAGAGGAAAAATGTTCCCCCGCTTCTTTCTCTCTCTTGAACTGAAAGCTGAGGCTGTTTTTGTAAATCTGGTGAGAAGTTTATTTTTTATTATTTTTGTATGTATGTGTGTGTCAGAACCGACTTGAGAAACCAAACCCTTCCAGTATTTTCTGTTAGTCATGGGAGATCTGTGTGCCAAATTTGGTTCAATTCCATTGCTGGTGGAGTTCAGAATGCTCTTTGATTGTAGGTTAACTTTTTTTGTGTGTGTCAGGAGCGACTTGAGAAACTGCAAGTCGCTTCTGGTGTGAGAGAATTGGCCGTCTGCAAGGATGTTGTCCAGGGGACGCCCGGATGTTTTGATGTTTTACCATCCTATGGGAGGCTTCTCTCATGTCCCCGCATAAGGAGCTGGAGCTCACAGAGGGAGCTCATCCATGCTTTCCCCAGATTCAAACCTCTGACCAGTCGGTTTTCAGTCCTGCCAGGCACAAGGGTTTAACTCACTGCACCACCGGGGGCTCCTAAGAGGTTTATAACATTGGTTGTTGGAAAAGCGAGGAATTGCAGAGTTTGAATGGACCCTAGAAGTCATCTAGTCCAACCTCATTTCAGACAGTTCTGTTGGAGAGCCAGTCCTTATTGTGATTATATGCCTTGAACGGCACAGGCAAAGTTTGGAAGGAAACACAGAGTGGACTTGCTACTCCCATAGACCTGCTGTCTCCCAGGATTGGCACTGACTATATAACACTATGTAACACTATATAACTAGTGTTACATAATGTGGACGTGCATAGCTTTGCATGCTGTGATCCCTTTCCCTATTTGATCCCACTCAAACTTCAAAGGGATGTGTCTACACTGTCTTATTAATGCAGTTTAGGATAGCTTTAGCTGCCATGGATCAATTCTTTGAAACCCTGGGAATTATAGTTTGGCCATCTTTGGCAGAGAAGGTTAACGACATCATTATCACCAACATTCTGTTTCTTCTCTCCTAAAGTCTGACTTGGCCACGGTGGTCCATGCTCTTGTTACATCCCGAATAGACTACTGCAACACACTCTACGTGGGGCTGCCTTTGAAGACTGCCCGGAAGCTTCAACTAGTCCAACGATCGACAGCCATGTGGACAATTTCAACAGAAAGGAGGAAACCATGAAAATGAACAAAATCTGGCTACCAGTATTTAAAAAGCTCTAAAATCAGGACAGTAAATAAATGATTTTGCTATTTGGGAGTTGTAGTTGCTGGGTTTTATAGTTCGCCTACAATCAAAGAGCATTCTGAACTCTACCAACAATGGAATTCAACCAGACTTGGCACACAGAGCTCCCACAATCAACAGAAAATGCTGGAAGGGTTTGGTGGGCATTGACCTTGAGTTTTGGAGTTGTAGTTCACCTACATCTAGAGAACACTGTGGACTCAAACAATGATGGATCTGGACCAAACTTGGCACAAATACTCAATATGCCCAAATATACACACAGATGGAGTTTGGGGGAAATAAATTTTGACATTTGGGAGTTGTAGTTACTGGGATTTATAGTTCACTTACAATCAATGAGCATTCTGAACCACACCAATGATAGAATTGGGTCAAACTTCCCACACAGATCCCCCATGACAAATAGAAAATACTGTGTTTTCTGATGGTCTTTGGCAACCCCTCTGACACCACCTCACGATTCTCCCAGGGGTCCCGACTGTCAGGTTGAGAAACACTGATTTATTCCTTCCCTTATTGCTTTGACTAGTAAATATTCATGTCCTTCTCAACCCCGCCCCCCTCTTCCCCTCTGCCCTTTTCTGCTTTGGTAATTTTCCATTTTTTTTCATTTCTCTTTTTCACCGGAGCAACGTACAGGGAACATACAACTCCTTTGCTACACCAACTCCACTGGCTACCGATCAGCTTCCGAGCACAATTCAAAGTGCTGGTTTTAACCTTTAAAGCTCTAAATGGTTCTGGCCCAGAGTACCTGTCTGAACGTATCTCCTGCCACGACCATCACGGAGTTTAAGATCTTCAGGAGAGGCCCTGCTCTCGATCCCACCACTATCACAAACGCTGTTGATGGGGACGAGAGGCAGGGCCTTCTCAGCAGTGGCCCCCCGCCTATGGAATGCCCTCCCTAGAGATATCAGATTGGCCACCTCCCTCTTGTCTTTTAGAAGGAAAATCAAGACCTGGTTATGGGACCAAGCATTTGATTAGTGAGCAGCAAGTAGAAGAAGATCACACAACTTATGGCAATGAATTGACCCGGACTGGTTTTTGGATTTCGATTTTAATGGATGTGTCTTAATTAATTGTTTTAATTGTTGTTTTAATTTTTAATATTTTGATTGCAGTGTGGTTGTTTTTATTATGCTTTTGTTAGGCCGCCCTGAGTCCCCTTTCAGGGGGAGAAGGGCAGAGTATAAATATAGGAAATAAATAAATAATAAATAAAGGAGACCCAAAGCAGCTAATACTGCAACTCTCAGGATCTCATAGTTGCGATCTGGATTAATACCACAATATAGATGCTGTGGAGTTCTGGAAGTTATAGTTTTCCAAAGTTTTTCACTGTCTCTGTCAAAGAGTGCCCAACTATAACTCCCAGGACCTCATCACATGGAGCCAAAACGGCATTAATTCCACAGTATGGATACTCTATAGCAGCATTTCTCAACCTGGAGGTCAGGACCCCTGGGGGGGGGTGTGTCACGAGGTGGGTGTCAGAGGGGTTGCCAAAGATAATCAGAAAACAATATTTTCTGTTGGCCGTGGGTGTTCTGTGTGGGGGAAGTTTGGCCCAATTCTATCATTGGTGGGGTTCAGAATGCTGTTTGATTGTAGGTGAACTATAAATCCCAGCAACTACAACTCTGGTCTGTTTTCCCCAAACCAGTGTTCACGTTTGGGAATATTGAGTATTCATGCCAGATTTGGTCCAGATCCATCATTGAGTCTACAGGGCTCGCTGGATGTAGGTGAACTACAACTCCAAAACTCAAGGCCAATGCCCACCAAACCCAGTATTTTCTGTTGTTCATGGGAGTTCTGTGTGCCAAGTTTGGTTCAATTCCATAGTTGGTGGAGTTCAGAATGCGCATTGATTGTAGGTGAACTATAAATCCCAACAAATCCCAAATGACAAAATCAATTCCCTACCACTATTCAAATTTGGGCATATTGAGTATTTGTGCCAAATTTGGTCCAGTGACTGAAACTATATCCTGCATATCAGATATTTACATAACAGTAGCAAAATTACAGTTATGATGTAGCAACGAAAATAATGTTATGGTTGGGGGTCACCACAACATGAGGAACTATATTATGGGGTTGCAGCATTAGGAAGGTTGAAAACTACTGGTCTACACTGTCTAATTAATGCACTTTGATATTGCTTTAGCTGCCATAGATCAATTCTATGAAACCTTAGGTATTATAGTTTGGCAGAGAAGGTTAACATCATCATCATCATCATCATCATCATCATCATCATCATCATCATCATCATCATTCTGCTTCTCCTTTCCCAAAGGAGACTCAAAGCAATTAATACTACAACTCTCAGGATCTCATAGTAGCTAACTAGATTAATTCTATGTATAACAACAACAGCAACAACAACTTATTTATATTCCGCCCTTCTCACCCCAAAGGGGACTCAGGGCAGATCACAATACACACAAATGGAAACATTCAATGCCGCTTGTATAGACAATACACAAACAGACAGAACAGAAGGAGGTGCCATGGAAGGTTGGGCTCAAGGCCAGGGGGTGCTGTTGCTCTATCCCAGGGATCCTCAAACTAAGGCCTGAGGGCCAAATACGGCCGTCCAAGGTCATTTACTTGGCCCTCACTCAGGGGCGGCTCGTCCATTATGCGAAGTAAGCGGTTGCAGAACACTTTTTTTGCCAGAGGCGCAGAAGCTCCTCTGTAAATGCCCCTCGACTGCCACTTGAGGAGTGCCCCCTCAGCTCACAACAGCCCTAGCAGTCCGGGGGGAGCCTCGGCTTTCTTGCCTCGCTGCCAGGTGATCCTCTTCCCAAAGGGGCCGGGCCCTAGAGCCTCGCCTAGCCCCTCTCGTTCCTGCTCCACCCGGCCACCCGGTGCGCGAGCAGAGCCGGCGCTCAATCGTTCTCCGCGTTCGATCCCTTCCCCATGACTGGCTCCCTTTCCCGATCCCCCGGCACTCCATCTCCTCTCCCCAACCTGTGGGTGGGCCAAGGGGCGGAGCCGCCGCGCCTGGCCCGCTTCAGGTCCAGAGGCGTGTCTGAAGACCCCAGCGTGCGCACCAAAAGTCGCCTCTTCTCCTGACTTTCTCTTCAGCCATTGGGACCAAGAGAGAGAGAGAGAGAGAGCCCCTCCGGCTGGAGGTATCTCCCACCTCCGCTCCCTCCTTTGTTTTTGCGCCTACCTTCAGGAAAGGTGGGCATCTCCACCTCTCTCTCTCTCTGTCTCTCTCTCTCTCTATTGGTCCCAATGGCTGAGGAGAAAGTCAGGAGAAGAGGTGACTTTTGGTGCACACGCCGGGGTCTTCAGGCATGCCTCCGGACCCAAAGCGGGCCAGGCAAGGGAGCAAGTGCGGCAAGTGTAGTTACTGGGATGTATAGTTCACCTACAATCAAAGAGCATTCTGAACTCCACCAATTGAACCAAATATGGCACACAGAACTCCCACGACAAACAGAAAATATATATCAGTGAATGGTTGGGGGGGGGGGCGCCAAAATACTGTTTGCTTGCCGTTGAAAATTACCTAGGGCCGCCTCTGCCCTCACTCAAGGTCAACCTAAGTCTGAAATTACTTGAAAGCATACAACAACAATGACCATCCTATTTCATCAGCCAAAAGCAGGCCCACACTTCCCATTGAAATACTA